AATTCTGCACAGAAAAAAACAAAACAAAACAAACAAAACACACTTTCCAACTCACCTTGAGCTCAGTGTTTCTGAGAAGTAGGGAAACCACATATCAAAATAGTTTCCTGCTTTCAAGGTCAGAATGGAGATCAGACGGTCCCGATCCGCGACGCATCTGGATGACAAAGACGTTACTTCCCAGCGAAGCTTTGTCTGGGGCTTGGCACACCACTGGGTCAAGTTGCCCAGCGAGCCTTTGCCACTGCTCCTTAATGACTTGCATTTAATTTGCCCAAGATCATGAATAACCCCCCCCCCCAATCCAACGAAACATGCACACCCCAACATGCTCTCATTTCCAGACATGGCCTTCCAACATCTCATATCGTTTTTTAATAAAGAAAAGACTGTGTGTGTGTGTGTGTGTGTTTCATGTTTACTCGATTGTCCGGAGGATCTGTATTCCAGGAAATAAGGATTTTCTGCCTAAAACGTTAGCGCCCATAAACAGCCTGAGATCACTTTCAAACGGTCACCGGTGGGAGAGACGACTGCGTTCAGCCAGCGTGTGTTGAGTGGCCAGAGAGCGCCCTGAGATGTGAAATTAATGCTCGTTTTCTCACAGTTTACGAGGGTGCTGCCGGGACCGGCTCTGGCCCCTCGCGGGGTGAGCGGGGTTCTCGGGGTGAGCGCACAATGGTGCTTTGTTCCCGGCCCCGTTCTCGCGTGCGTTACTGTTTCAGTTTCATCTGTCAGCAAGCGTCTGTTTACCCGGCTTCCTGTTATTAATGATGGGAAACAGGTTTTCTTGAAATATACGCGAGACTTTTGAAGCCCGTGTCCAGAGACTTCCAGGCAAGGCGCGGAGGAGCCCTTCATGTGGAAACCAAGCCACCAAGCCGGAAACGGGTTCGAATACACCGCGGCCTGGCCTGGCTGACGACTTCTGATTTCTCACAGAGGGATAAAAACCACAGAAAGTAAGGTCCAGCCCCCTCCCTAGACGTGGAGATGACAGAGTTGGGGACTTTGTCAGCCAGGACAATTCATCAGCAGGTCACTGTCCACGTTTTGAACCCTTCGGTCACCCACTACCATGTTTCCAAAGTCAACTCAAAGAGGAAGGTGCTCAAAGACAGCGAGAGATACTCTAATGGAAAGATTTTCCCCGAAGAGATGGAAACACTGCCCTGGGTACTGGTGTGTGACAGAGCTTTTCCTGTCGGAACATCTGGTCCGGCCATCCCGAGCTCTGTCTTTGGGATCTCAGCGAATGTACTTGCATACTTGCATGCCTGAGACGCAGAAAGGAGCAAGACATCTGGAAACTTGAGAAGAAAAGGGAACTAGTTGGGGGAGGGGGTGTCCGGATTAAAAAATGCCGCTGTTAACTGGGCTGTCAGTCAAGCTACGAGGGAATACGGCAGAAAGAACCAGGAGCCACTGGTGGGAAATTAAAAGACTTCATGGGCCACTGTCAAGCGGAGAACCGTGAGCCCGTCACGTAATACGGATGGGGGCTTTGTGCCCCGAGATCCGAAAATGTCACCCCGTGCAATTTCGTAAATCAGCCATTTCCAAAAATCTTTTTCATTCGAGCCCAGTAAGTCTCTCTGACTCTCCCCTCTCTCTTCGGTCATTAACGTGGGGTTTGGCCTCGAAGTTTGGCTTTCATCAGCGACATGCTCCCCCCGCCCTCCAGGCCCCCTTTCTAAGACCCTCGAATTCTGCTGAGCAGCTGGAAGTTGCAGGAACGGCAACCTGACGAGGGACCGCCAGCCCCACTCCCACCCTGGTGCCTCAACGGTCCGGGCCCTGCCTGAGCGCCGCGCCCAGAGACAAAGGCACAAAGACCCCATTTTTCTCGGGGAAAGCAGATTTCATGTGCAGAACACCAGTGAGGAGCACGGGGCGGACACACACGGGCGACGGGACCGAGGCAGGACGGCGTGTTTCAAGAAGACTGGACGCGCATTCGATGGCGTCGAACCCTCACAAACGTTGTTTCACCTAAAAGTCTTCTCAGTCTGCAAAATGACATCGGGTGGCAAGACATTTTATTTCTGTCAAGCACATGGCTGAAAAGGAGTCCAGGTCTGCAGCTCAGCGCAGAGACGCTAATTACATACCACGGCTGCATAAGAAATGAGCTCCGGCTCCCATCCCTGCGCCGACCCGAGAAAGGGGGAAGGCAAAACACAGCCCCGTTGAATCAAAGGATTCGGCGAGGTACTATTAAACCTTCTGAATACGTGTCCTGTGAAAAGACTCCCCTCCCCGCGGCCCCAGAGTGTCATTACCGGAGAGGCGGTGAGTGGTTTGTGGGAGATGCAAACCCTGGCATCTCAGCCTTGCCAAGCATGTGGGCCGTGGCTGGTGAGCCCGGGACTTGGCTTCCACCCCCTCTGGCACGGCACGCCAGGGCCGTCTTCTTGGCTGGGCAGAGGGGCACAGAGGCGGTACTGCAGACACAGAAGGGTCGTCCGTCCCCGCAAGAGCACGCTTTTCCCGCTGCCTGACCCACCTCTGCCAGGGCGACCCTCAGAGATGAGCAGGGAAAAGAGAAAATGAGCTAGGGAATTCATGTATCACATTCCCACAGGAGAACGGAGGGGGATGGGAGGAGGGCAAAGCCTGAAGTATGACTTTAAAACAAGCTTTAATGCACGAGGACCTTGCCCACCTGCCCTCCAAGGTGTGTCACTCCGCTGGGTGCGTGTGTTTCTGCCATTTCATTCCCGCGCAGAGCAGGCTCAGCGGTCTGTGGAAAGTGACCGCGTGGCCACGCCGAACGGGACACTTCCGTGACAGTTCCAGTGGACTCTTTGGTAGCAGGTAGTCTCACTTGCTGGGTTCATTCAGTGAGCCCCTCAGCAAATGCTCCAGGTGATGATGAGGCAGCTCACCTCCGTCCCGGCCATTCAGGGGCACTGTTCTCAGCCGATGGGTTTGACGCTTCTAGAATCATCCGAACGGGCTTCATATATGTGGGAACGTGCTAGACCGGTAACACGTTACGATGTAGTTTGTGTAGCTGTCAGGATTGAGAGGCCGAGAAATTGCCCTGGGAGACTCTTCGCATAAAAACATTTCACAACACATTTTTCAAAAATTGAGAAATGGTTTGTACTCTGCTATTGCCTTTCAAGCTCCCACGATTCTTAAGTGTCTTTTTTTTTTTAAATGTATTGATTTGAGAGAGAGGAAAAGAGAGAGAGAAAGGGAGAGAGCGAGAGAAACATCGATTTGTTGTTCCACTTATTTCTTCATCCATTGGTGGCTGCTTCTATGTGCCCTGACCCGGGGTCGAACCGGCAACCTCGGCACATGGGGACGACGCTCTAACCCACTGAGCAACCCAGCCAGGGCCTTTACCATTTCTTCAGCTGACGGGAATATCAGAGAGAGAGAGAAGAAACTAGCAAATGATACCCTGACTAGTAGGAGACCCCGAGGAAACGAGACTCAGGTGACCCCTAGGGCCCCTCAGATGTTTTACACAAACCCCTTATTCCCACGACGATGTCTGCGTCAGGATGGTTCTCTCCCTCCTTCCCAGTCCCCTCAAAATACTGCGCAGCCTTTACAACAGGAGCTTCTGGTCGTAACCGGTCACGCTGATAGTTCGTGCGCGGTGTTGACAGTGATCCGAGTGCCCCAAGCCTTCACCCGTCTGCCCTCAAAACAGAGCTGTGGAGTTGGGGGGCATCACTCTTCACACATCAGTGAGTCTCTGGGCCTCAGTTTCCCCATCCAAGATGAAGAACGTGGCCAGTCCTAGGACAAGGCTGGGCGTGAATCTGCAAAGGTGGCGTTGACGCCAAGCCGCGGGGTCCCCGGGTGCGGAAGGGGAGGAGGGTACGGTGTCCGTTGTGCTGAAAAGTTGCGAGTCTGATAGGGAGAGCCACTCGGCCTCACGGACAAAGCTAGGGGGTCCCTGGGAAGTCAAACGGTACATCGGGCAAGGACGGCGAAGAGTCCGTGCCCGTGCCCGCCGCCGTGCCAGCGTCCTGCGGCAGCTCACCCCGTTCTCTGGGGTCCGGATTTCCAGGTGCGCCTGGTGTTGCGCACTCAGTCTTTCTCCCTGGTCAGCCTCCGTCCTCCTCGGCCGGTGTGGACGGGACCAGTGGCAGCCACCGTGACCCAAGTGATGCTGGAAACTGCAGCCCGTCCCCCCGGGACCGGGGTCCTGAGGCCACGGGTGGTTCCGCCCCGTGCCCTGCCTTCCGGCTTCCTGAGCTGCCCGGAGCACCCCACCCAGGTGCCAATGAAGCAAGAGGAAATCAGGGGGCGGGGGGAACACCGTGTTATGTGGAAGACACTCAGGAAAACGCCGTCTTTTCGAATGGAAGTCACAGAAATGCGTTTCTGCAGAGAGGACACGGGATGTCCCGCCTGAGGGGGTCGACAGACATCATTCTGACCGGTGTCTCCCCAGCATTACTCAACAAAATACCAGGGTTCCCTAATTCACTAGCAAAAAAGGAGAGACACGTTTGCTTGTCTCCATTTACCCAGTCGAAAGGGAGACACCTCTATTATCAGGGACCGCGTGAATGATATAAAGACAACATAGTATCATTCAGATAGATTAACTCGTCTCTTTTTGTGAAATTAAATGATAGATAACAGGCGGCAAATACATTTGAAATGTTTGGGAATAAAACCTAGATTTATTTAACCAAGGTACTGACATCATTTAGTAATTTCAAACCTTTCCCCGTGGGAAATGCATCCAAGTGAAACTAATTCTCATCATTAATTAGCATCAGGGAGGTAGCCAAATCTATCTGCTTTCTCCTGGGTCTCTGACAAGACGTGTTTTATGAGGGGTGCACCCCAAACAGTGCTTTCTGGGGCCAAGTAGTAGTCCTAGAGAGAGAAAAATGCAGGATATGAGAAGTTGGCAGACCGCTGTGGATGGTTGGGTTGGAAAACATTTCCCTAAGAGGATAAACACAGATTTGAGCACGTTTGCCCGGCGTGACCTGAGGGACACGTATCTCTTTCTGTTTCAGGCCGGAGTGTTGGCAAAGTGACCAGCAGATCCTTGCAGGGACCGAAGGCGGTTTCATCGACACGGAGGCAGAGAGAGCTGCATCTCCGATGATGCTCCGCAGCGTTGAGAGGGACGTGGCCCGGCCCGGGTAAGTCTCCTCGGGCCCCTGGAGCGCTCGGTTCTGTCCGCCGCAGCTCGCTCCCCCATTCTCTCCCTTCTCTCGGCCTCGTTTGAAATCAATGTCGTTTGCGGTTCTTTCGGGGAATGCTGGCCACATGGCTGAGGGCAGCCTTCTGAGCGGACGACTCAGCCCCTGTCAGTGGGTGCTGGGAGCCAGGGACCCTTCGCCCGTGCCCTCGGGGCCGTTTGTCTCGGGGCTGCGTCCAAACAACAGTTTCACCTTCACGCCTTCGAGCGCAGACGGAGCCCTTCAGGACCTCTGGGGGCCCACCAGCCACGCACGATGTAGATACTGGGAGCCTCTGGAAACATCCCCTGGTCACATCGGCAGAGGGTCCGAGCAGTGTCTCAAGAAGGACCCGCAGGGAGTGACGGCCTTTAAAAGACACAGGACAGTCCCAACTGGGAGAAACACGGCTGTGTGTCTCTGGACCATGTCGCGGTCCCAGCAGCGCTGGCTTCTTCTCGAGTGTCTCCGGGAGTTGCTGCTGGCCTCTGGGGAGACTCGGTCAGGGGTCCCCAAAGCTGCAGTAGTTAAACAAAAACAAACAAACAAACAAACACACAAAAGGTTGCCCGGCCAGTGTGGCTCAGTGGTTGAGTGTCAACCCTGCACCAAGAGGTTGCCGGTTTGATTCCCAGTCAGGGCACATGCCCAGGTTGTGGGCCCATCCCCAGTGGGGGGCGTGCAGGAGGCGGCCCATCGATGTTCTGTCTCATCGATGTTTCTATCTCTCTCTCCCTCTCTCATCCTCTCTCTCTCTAAAATCAATAAAGGGGAAAAAATTTGTTTTTTAAAGAAAGAAAAGCAAAACATCCTGCTTTGTCCAGTGGTCAGACAGACCGGAAGTGGGGTTAGACATGAGAGGGGTGGAGCGAGGGGTTGGAAGCTTTAGTTTTTGTTTCTGCGGCGGCCGCTGGATCGGCGGCGGCAGTCGGGCAGTTGAAGGCGTGGCTGTCACTGGGGGTCTGGTCGAGGGTCCTGGGGACTGTCACAGGCCGTCAGCCTTCCGTTGTCCTCGCTGTCCCTCCCCACAGCCCTGGGTTCCACGTTCCACTTGACCCCGTCTCTGTCTGATAGTTCCAGGGATTACTTTCCTTCCTCCCACTTTCTTACCTTTTCAACTTAAAAAAAAAAACTCACCTGAGGATGTTCTTCCAATTATCTTCAGATAGAGTGGGGGGGGGAGAGAGAGAGAGAGAGAGAGAGAGAGAGAAACATCCCTCTAACCCCACCCCCAGTGAGCAACAGCTCTTGTCTTGCTCCATTTTACTCTGCAGTCGTTTTACAGTTGTATCGCACTGCAAAGCCCGACTAGTTCAATCCTTTATTTCAACTTCCTCAGGGTCCTGTGAAACTGAAGATGTCACCAAACTGCGGGACATCTAATCTAGTGAGTCAATTATTCAGGATTCAAAACACACACGTTTCCTGAGGGGTGCGGGGCCGTCACCATGGACAAGAACGGGTGGCGTTGCGGGTACAGACGGACGGGACGGGTATTCTCTGGCTGAGCAGTCGGGGCTCCTGGGTCTGCAATAAGGCCAGGTTCAACCACACGGGCATGGCACCCTGTCCCAACCCTTGTCCCAACCCCCACATTCGCACGTGTGCTGTGAGGCTGGTTCGTGGACTGCGTTTGCTCAGGGAGCCACACCCCGCTCAGCATAGCCAGGTCCTGCTGTCTCGGGTGGGGGGGTGCCGACGTGAAGGGGGGGCAGTGCTGTCCTCCTGCTTGGCGGCAGGGATCCAGAACTGGCCACCTCTCGGGCGCTGTCCTTGTTTGCGGGCGAACCAAGGCACCCGCTGTCCGTTTACAAAGAACATGCACCGACTGTCGTACCTCAGCGGCGAGGGACGAGAGCCTCAGAAAAGCGAGACATTGTTCAGCGGAAGTTTTCGGTTCATCTCAAGCACCTGTGAACAAACATGTATCAAGAGGCACCGGCGAAAGCGCCCCAATCACGTCACCTTGCAAACTCTCGCCTGGAAACGCGCCCCTCGGTTGGAGCTTTGGCGTGACAGCTGTGGAGTGTCCAGGACCTGGGTCCTGTTGGAAGCAGCAGAGGCTGAGAAGGCAGCTGTGCTTGGTGTGAGGCTGCGAAGTCACCGTCCAGCTCGCCCTACTCGGGCCCCAGTGAGCAAAAACAGCCTCAAATCGAGGCGCTTGATAAATCTGTATCCCGACACTGTATTTTCTTTTCTTTTTAAAAAAATCCTCACCCGAGGACTATTTTTTCCATTTATCTTTTTTTAGATAGAGTGGAAGGGGGGGGAGAAAGAGAGAGAAAGCGATGTGAGAGAGACACATCAAGCGGTTGCCTCCTGCACGACCCTGACCAGAGCCGGGGATGAATCGCAACTGAGGTACGTGCTGTTGGCTAGAATCGAACCCATGACTCTTTGGTCCGTGGGCCGACGCTCTAATGGCTGAGCCAAACCGGCCGGGGCCCAGCACTGTGTTTTCTTTGAACTCGATGGACGAGGAACAGCTCTGGGTTCAGCCTCGCTCTTGGGTCTTGTCTCTGTGAGACCAACTTGAGCCGACACCACGTGTGAACACTCTCCGAGGCTGTCTGAGTCCAGTGGCACTTTGTCCCACGCCTCTGTCCCCGTGGCCATCCAGTTCCACCCAGGCGAGTGTCCAAGCCTCCACCTTCCCCACGACCACTCCCCCGCACAGGTGCGTCCCCACGGCCACTCCCCCGCACAGGTGCGTTCCCACAGCCACTCCCCCGCACAGGTGCGTCCTCACGGCGCCCACCGGAATGCTGTCGCCATGGCGCTCCGCGGGGAGGCTGACCCTGTGATGACAACATTGTGTCCCTTCCTTCCTGCAATGACCTCACTGTCCTCCCGGCCTGACACCTGCCACCCTTCTGCCGCCGAGCAGCTGGGGCTCCCGTCCTGCAGCGGGAAGTCAGCGCCTCGTTCCCAAGAGCCCTCATTGTTCCGAGATTTTTCTGGCTGCTGTGGGACTTGGGGACTGGAGAACACAGCACTTCGTACCCGCCCCAGTGGGGGACCAGAGGCAGAAGTGTGACTTGTCCCCGTCTGCACCGCTTACGGGAGTTGGATGTGCCTTCGTGCCAGTCACACCTGAGCGCTGGGACCCGAGGCAGGCGAACTGCAGAGAGTGTTCGTGTCTCGGAGTCGCCGCAGGCTCCCCACCCACAGCTCCCCCACGCCTGGTTGGTGGGGGGACCCCCGGCTGTTTCCGCAAGTGCTCGCCACTCCGGAGGAGGCTCCGCCTGCTGCTGTCTGAGCAACTGGAGGAGAACCGATGGATCTCAGTCCAGCGGACTCTCGGTACCGCGCGAACTGCTACGCCCCCTACTGGCCCACGGGTCTCCCTTAACAGAGATTTTCAGGTGCTTATCATTTGCTGGAAATCAAGAGATCTCCAAGAGAACCGCGGAATTATTAAGTGTCAGGCAAACCCAACTGTATTTATGTCCGGAATAATTGTGTGTTTCCGAGCCAATCACATCGACATATTGTTGATTGAGAACGCTTTTATTCTTTAAAGGAATCAAGGGAAGTAACGACGGCATGAATTTATCTTTGAAATGGCCACAGGCACTGTTGTCTTCATAATAAGAGCACGGGTCCTTTCTACCCATCAAGTTAGAGACAGACTCACGGAAAGAGAGCAGGCAGCTGGGGTCGGACGAAGACATTGCGGGGACAATGATGGAGCAAAAAAGAAAAAAGAGAAAGAACTCACGGATGTGGACACCAGTGTAGTGATTGCTGTCGGGGGAGGGATGGGGAGTAGAAGAGGGTATGAAGAATAAATGGTGATGGAAAAAAAAATAAAGAAAAACATCTAAAAAAGAGAGAGTGGAATGAATTCTACTAGCATCCTACAGTTACCTTATTAACCAAAATTATTACCAGTGATCTCCCTGAAGCAAACTGGTTTGCATAACTGTGCAAAAATGCAATGACATGGTTTTCACTGAGTCTGCAAATTTTCTAATGGTTTCCTCTTTCCTACACTTCCTCCAAAACAGCGATATTCCCCATTGTATACGTATCTCTTACCTTCCTCTCCGACTTCATTTCATATTTCTCTTTGCTTGATTATTTCTTCTGGAATTGGACACTCGCAGTGATTACATCTCTCTCATAATTTAAGAGTTGATTTTAGATAATGACCTATACCTTCTACCCTCGTGTCTGTAATCTCTGATATCCCCCCCTAATTAGAGATGTTTTTCCTCTGTTTTCAACAACGCTGATTCTATCTGTACATCAGCATGTTGTCGGGTCCGTGCATCTGTTCCCGTGATCACCGAAGACACTGAGTTCCCCGAGCATTTTACAGCTGCAGCGTATTCGGAAGACAGAGCACTGTGGAAGCCACATTTGCTTGTGCAGTTGTTGGTCTGCATCCCGTCGCTGCGCCCGAAAATCCTCTTAGGAGCTTGGCCTCGGGCTGAGCCTGTAGCCATCAGCGTTGATGGAGTCCAGAGAGGAAAACGCAATTTCACAATCAGATCCAAAACGTGCAGTGTCTTCCCTCTGTCTTCTGTGACCACGGACACCACTCGCTTTTGGGCTCAATCAAATTCACTTGTCATCACTCTGCACGGAATCATGGGAAATTCCACCTCCGTCCTGGGTGGTTCCGGGACATTCCTAGATAGATAGATTCGCTTTAGAATCAACAGAGCAAGATCATTTCTGCAGGATGGCATTTTCACACGTCACTTGTGTCTTGCAGAGGTTTGGGTGACACATCGGTGGTGGCCTCCCGTTGCCAAGAAATCCACCCTCACGACGGAGGCAGGTGGGACTCTCATCACGGGACTGTGTTGAGCTGGGGGAGGTGCGGAGAACGCCTGGCCCCCACTCTCCGACTGCGCCCCGTCTTCACTGATATGCCTCAGGTGGGTGACATTCGGTGAGCAAAGCCTCCTCAGAGCCTCTCCGTGGGCGCCCACTTCGGGGTGGCAGCCTCT